GTGTCTAAATTCCAAGTTAGGAATGTGGACGACATGTAGCTTCAACAGGATGGTGCCACATGCAATAAAACCCGAGCAACAATTCAATTACAATATGGGTCATTTTCTTAGTCGTATTATTTTCCGTTTTGATCGTCATGTGTCTTAATTCCTTGAGACTCTTCTTTGTGGGTTTTCAGAATCTAATAAAATCTATATCCATATATTACGATTTGAAGGAGAAAATTGAGCGCAGTATCAACGAAATTCTTTTTCACAGTCAGTAAAACCGTCACATTAATTTACTAGGAATGAGACAATGTCCATGGAGAAAATGTATATTTTTGTCAAATACGGTCCTGTAGGTATGTAGGTAGATGGCTCGTCGGGTAAAGGTGAATAGGCTGGAGCCGGGTCGAGGCCCTCCAAGAGGGGGTAATGTCTCATTAGTGAGGACTAGTTCTTTTTTATAGTTTTTTGTTCTTTTTGTCGTCATCTCCGGCGGTGGTGATGGCATCGTGCAACGGTGGCGGCAGCTCAACAACGACGCCGGTAGCGCCACGACGCTCTCAAACCTCAAGTTTTAATCGATGCTGCAACTGCACCGGGTGCAACGTGTGATGGTGGGGTGACGTAATGCCGACTGACAGGGGGCACAAGGGGGGGGTGATTTTTAGGCAGACTGTCGTGTTAGAAGAGTGAAGGGGGGGGGAAATATGCACGACATAAGCGTCCCGACGACGACGTCGACTGTAATTGACGCTGACGTTTTTTTGAGAAAAGCAGGGACAAGATGTTACCGAAAAATGGTATTATCAGTGGGTCAAAAATTAAAGTTTCATAAATATATATCGGAGTATTTGCCAAAATTCCCCTAGACAAAAATTTTCAGTCTCTCAGAGTCTTTCAACGTCTCTCACAGTTTTTAAGTTATTGCCTAGGTGTTTTTATGGATCTCTCACAGTCTCTGTATGAGAGGCTCGAACGATAAAATTGTTAATTCAGAGGTTCGAGTCTCTCACGAGAGACTGAATGAATAAAACTGAAAAATTGAGAGACTCGAGTCTCTCGTAGAAAGACTGGGTTTTCTGAAATATGTTCAACTTAGAAAATTTTAACCATGTCTATCGAGACACCACTTATTGAGAGATTCTAGTCTCTCCTTCAGAGACTGGATACGGAATGAGGATCTCTCTATGAGCGACTCGAGTCTCTCGTTCAGAGACGCTAAACAGTTTTTTTGACAGTCTCTCTCAGCGACACCAGAGAGACTCGATGAGAGACGGAGACTCGAGTCTCGCTTTCAGAGACTCTTGAGAGACTGAACATTTTTATCTTGGGTCCATATGTAATAATCATCTACATAATGCAAGATATACGTCAAAATTTTTGATATTTGTTTAAATAATTAACTTTGTATATGATTTGAAGCATGCAGTTTAACATGTACTTTTTTTTAGTATGAAAAAAGGACGATGTTGAGTCAGGTTGAATGTATTGTAATTATTTTATACAACGTATTGTTTTTTAATTTCTTGGGACCATTGCGGGACCGTAAAATTTTATTATGTATATAGGTAGGTACTCGTTTAAATGAGACCATTTCGAATTGAGTCGCCCGAGGTGAAATCCATAATTTTTACGACTGACGTAGCAATTACTGTGATTTTTTTACTATTATTTTCTTCGTTAACGGCTCTAGAGTCTCTTAATTATTTCTGGACCATTAGACGGAGCCTAAGCATTCCGATAATAATAATTATTCCTGTGTAATAGGGCGGAAAAAGTACCGTTTTTTGAAGTACTAATTAATACGTTTTATTGCTTTATTATTATGTTATTACAGACTTCACCATCGGCCTTTTTTTTTCGCGCTGAGGTCATTATCACGATGTACAATATTATTTATTTGATGGTTTAGTATTCGATTTTCATCATAGGTGTAATCGTATCGAATTGAATTTATGAACAGTATGAAACTAAAGACAGAGGAAATTTAAAAATTATTTTGCGTTACAATTATTTTGCAAGTTTTGGCTTTCGCATAATTATTTAATAAACAACTACAGTAATAATGTATTTGTACAGGCCTAACGTCCCACATATTATTTTAATCGTTGCAATATGCAACAAGATGGTTTTTTGCTCGTCGTTCGTAATTGATACGTTACATATTAAGTGCTGATACATGGGTTGGAAAAACCATAGACAGAAACAGACCATGAAACAAGACTCGTATAATAAGTAGATTCGTGCGACCTGTATCCCATTTTTTTCTTCTTAATTAGCATAGTTAGAATGCGTCTACCTCGCTGTTATTTTTGACAAAAGAACAGCTTTCTAATTGCGTAAATTATTGTGGTATAAAACTAATTCGACGCTTGGCAATTTTCTGCCAAAATGTTTGCTATTTGGTTTAAGAAATTGTTAATATTTAACAGTCCAACTTACTCTAATTAGTGTATTAATTATATAGTTTTAATTAATTAATAATTTTGCTAGAAATCGTAAGTATCTAATTGTATTTGTTTTGGGATCATCTCCATGAAATTCCGGATGACTTCGCTGGAGATTATCCCCAGCAAAGAAGTTTTTGCAATTTTTTAGTTAAATCACGTACGATAATTGTTCCCCAGTTCTTGATTAATTATGTTTAATTAAAAATGTTTGCGACCCATTTAACGAAATCGCGGCAATCTGCATCAGGCCATATTCGCGCTCGTCGTGTTCCAATTAAAAGTCACCGGCTTTTTGGATTAGTTTTCCCTTATTTGTCGCGCAAACTGCGCCCGCGCAAAAGTGTTATTTCGTCGTTTTTTTGGCAGCCGTTAATGACGCTTCTAAGCGCGAGTGTTATGAAAAGGTTAAAACAAATACAAAAAGAAAAAGTCAAAAAAACTAGGGCGTAGCCCGGGCTCACAACACCCACCCCACAACAGCAAATCCAAACTATCCTGTTCCTGTTCGAGTCCTTTTCTCTTTCCTAATAGTTGCTGGTCGTCGTTCTCCTAAAAATTTAAAATGCGATAGCCAGCTGGTGTAGTTGTTGTAGAGTACATACATATATCTAACAACCGCCGAAAAGAAGTAGAAGAAAAAGGGGTTGGAGTGCGCCCTTTGACTCATGTCTTCCATACGTCTCGACTTTGATCTTTAAGGGCACGGTCGGGATGGGACGGTTTTGAAAGGGGATGAGGCCAGTGGTAGAGTTGCGGGGTCAAAAACCTTTAGTACTTTTATAACTAAAGCTTACAGTTCATTTTTAACGAGTGAACCTATCTAGTAATTATCAATCGCAGGCCCATGGGAAAATAGGATGGGAGCAGTACGTAATTTAGAAATTTTTTACAAAATACTTTACCTACTTCAGAAATAATCTACTTTTTTTTTAATAATTTAATCGATCTTCGGTTAAGAAAAGGTTTCAGATTTTTTCTACGTTGTTTTCCTTTCCACAAAAAAAAACGTATCATGGGGCTCTGGTTTTTTCGATGTGGATTTTCTCAAAATTTTCTGGGACATTTTAATAGTTTTATATCGGACTTACCTTTTCAAATGAAATTATTCGTTTGTTTCGATCAACTGTTTCTAGCAGAGAACTGGCAAGCAAGCAAGAAAGGAAAGGGGTACGGGGGGGGGGGGGAAGGTGGTTAATATGTCGTAATTTGGTTGACGTGATGAAAAATGATGCCCAAGTTTCTTCCGAATAGCCAAGTATTATTTTCTCTCAATTGTGTCAACCGCCTACTACATAATGAAGACGGATTGACTTGAGTTTCAATTACCATCTAATTTGTGCCGACTCGGTTTCTACTGAATTTTATCATTAATACGGTGTACTTCTGTTCCTCGCCCACCTCTTGTTTATTGTAGGTATCGCTTCTCGCGTTTCTTTGAATTTATTTGTTTGTTTGGTGACAAAGTAGTTGGTCAGTAATTTGAAATTCTACAGTTGGCAGCAAATTTAATGTTCTAGAGTGGATTTAACTGTATATTTGTCCATCTCTTAGTTAGACGTGAAAATACGATCGAAATATTAACTAAAAATTAAAACAATTGTCCAAATATTTATAAATAATATGTATCTAGCGATTTCACCCCTAAAACTGTAGCAGATCGTTCTAAAAATTCAGAACCGTGCTTACGCCTTAATAATATTTAAAATGCCGGTTTGTTGTTTTTGCCACTTGCGATTAAACAACATTTTTTTATAGGCCGAAAGCAACGGTGAAGTTGTTTGTTTTTTTTTATCTAACTACAACCTAATTACGGTTGTTGTTATAATGTAATATTTGCGATAAAAATGTTGTTGCAAGAAAGGTGCACCGCTATGCTATACACGTAAACAAACGTATCACATTGTGTATATGTCCTAATGAGAAATTAATAGAAGCTGTTGTAATACTGTAAATAAACAGTGTTCCTAAGCGCGGTCTCGACTAATGCGATGATTGATGATTGTCTCAAGTCGACCTCGATGTATGTATGGATATATCTTGGTACATACTTATAAAAATTCAGGGAGAATCAATCTGCCACTGTCGACGAGAAACAAGTGAACACTTTTATTAAAACAAAACATGACAATCTACAGTTGACTAGGAGGCAAGATCCTATTAATTTATTAATATTATAAAAATATAAGCAATCAAGTAAGATAACAGTAGATAAGATTGAATTACGATTTACGAACACCCAGTATCTATATTTTGTCTGTTATTTTATTATAATTACATCTCTTTCTCACTAACGGCACACAAAACGCGGGGGGTAATTTATATGTGCCGAAATGGTATTGAAAGGTAGAGTTAATTTTTATTGCTTAGATTCGTTAATTATTTGCGAAAATTGCGTCACAAATGTTAAATATTGATTATAATCATGTTTGGTAACGATTTCTTCAAACTATTTTTTGACCGGTCCTCGTATCTTCCTTCAGCGCTCAAATATTTCATTAATCGCATCATTTTATTGTTTATATGAGTCGCGTATATACCTTCACCTCCAATTGAACTTGGCCAGCCCGCGACAACCGGACTGATCTGATAAACAATTAGTAGTATATCTTTCGTAGTCTGTTGTTGTCGTGTAAAATAACAAAATGTATCGCGGTGTGGTGCGGTTTTTGTTTCGTTCTCTTGTTTAAATAAGTGCATTTTAGTGCAGTGTATTTAGACGAAATGTTACGTATAAACAGTAGACTTTTTATTTTGTTCGGAAAACAGAAGGACTTCTTAAAATCTGTTTAAATACGAGAGGAAAAATAGTGAGGTATGTCTCTGTTTACCAGTAAAAAAACCTGCAGAAAATAAAGTGTTTTGTACCGTGGTTTTTATTGTTTTGTTTGCAAAAATACAATTTTGGTACAATATTAAATATTAGGCATAAAAAGTAGGCAGTTGATTTTGATCGATAAGCAAGAGAAAATCGGAAAATTTATGGAAAATACTGTTTTAAATTAAGTAAACGAATTATTAAGGGTTTAAAATAGATTATAACAATTCCATGATTTATTGTACTCTGTAGAAATACATTTTTTATAATGTCGCTTGTTTTTGTTGCAGGATGAAGTAGCAAAATTCAAAGATGGTCCGCCGGGAGGCGTGACAGGAATCAAATCGTCTCCTGAAGTCACGATATGGGACTCATTCCGAGATTTTTGCCACTTTTGGCAATATTAACGCATTATAAAATCAACTGTGAACAGGGTAAGTGAACTTGACAATGTTTTTTGCATGTCTTTAAATTGTTTTTATTATATTCATAAGGTATTATATTACACAATAGGCGACAGAAATATAGGTCATATTTCCTTGAGGTACTTGAAGGATAATTTATCTGTAGAAATACAAATTAAATCGCTTTTTTGACACTATTCCAATAGTAGGTAATAATTGTTTCGTTGACCAACGCATTTTACTCTTGAAATTGTCAATTTCTGGTTAACGAAACGTTTTATTATGAACCCAATTTTAACGTGTAGTAACTGCATATTTTTATGGTGCATTCTATTGAATAGGTCATAATTTTTATAGTACTTATTTACAGTTACTGGTACTTTTACGTTCAAATGGCTTTTTAAATATTTCACTTCAGTTGTTTTCCTACAAAATAGTTTCTTCCTCTTGAAAAAACAACCAAGAGCGAAACAATTGAAGTGATTGTTTCAGATAGGCATTTTGTTTTAAATGACAATTCTCTCGTGAAAGTGTTTCACTACTCAATAGGTACATAGTTTAACTGACTCTTGTAGGTGCTGAAAGGTTATGTGTTTTATTTGTTACATATTTTAATTGTAACCTTTTCTATAATGTTACATCTACATCAGATATTTGCCATCAGTTACACCCTCCTTCGAGTTAAAACAATTTAATTTGAACAAACAAAACTATAAATCATTGGATATTGATAATATTTTACTCAATGATATAACAATGATTGTAATGTAACTATCTTCTGTCTGTCCGGCATTATCTTGTATTTTTTTCGTGTTTCTTCGTTCGTTGTTGGTTGCGAAAAACGACATCGTTTACCACGTAGTCCTTGGACATTTTTTCTGCAACAAGAAAGAGCAATTTACATAAATTTGCAGTTACATGAATCCTTTATGCACCTGAATTATCACCTTAAAAACAAAACGCACCGCACAAAGTTGACTCAAAATTGATTATTTCGTAATTAAACTTTAATCGGTTACGAATGAATATTTATTGAAGAATACGTAATTAAAAGGTTTTAGAAGTACGTTTTTATTCACACTCTGCAATCTAATAGCTAAACTACAACATACATAGCCGTCTATTTCTCAGTGTTATAAAATAAGTTATTTATTTATAATTAGGTAAACCTTGAGCAACTCTAAAGTACAATACATCACTTTAAACAATCGCAGTTAGACACTACGATATATCTACTGCAAAAACATATCATTAACAACAACAACAGGTAAACATACCAATCGATTCTTTTTCTTCTGTAATATTGTTTATAAGTATTTTATTAAAATTGTTTTTCAATGCGCTTACTTATTCGAACTTTTTCAAAAGCGTTGCTACTAATTCTAAGTAAATTGTGCAATGCCTTATACTTACTTATAAGTACCTACTGACAATATTTGACAACTTTTGTCCTTATAATTATTTTTTTTATTGTTAACTTCGACCTTCCTCTCTGACGTTTCCTCATTTTAGGTGTCATATACAGTAGTGATTTAACAACTGTTTTAATTATTGCTATGTACTTTTCTATATGTCACGCCCCGTTTTGCCAACTGGCTTTTTTCTTTCGTCGAAAAGTAAATAGGCGCATTGAAAATTCGGAAAACACATCCGCACGTTAAACTTTTGGCAGATCTTTATCTATTTGTTGCTAATCGATCGTGTGCTTCCGCCTTGTCACCATGACAAAGTTAAATAATCGGTAACACAAATTATTAATTAAGATCAGTTGTTAGAGTTATTGTTAATGTAATATCTCACCAGTGCAAATTATTATTAGAGGGTCAGATCAGTTTTATTAAGATACCACGCATGTTGCCTTGACAAATAGAGTTAGTTGTTGGGTATGGTACAAGAAATGCCACCTTGATATTATTTGTTATTACATTTGAGTAACTTTTTGTTTTTGTCTGTTGAATTCAAAGAATTTGTCTCCTGTATTTCGCAACTGTTTAACACTCTGAAATGTTTAAAATTGCATATCAATAATATTAAAATAAGTAACTGGTGACTCATGTGCAGTGAGGACATCGATAACATTTAAATTAAAATGTGTTCTTTACCAGAAACAATTTCGTAAATCTAGAAAGTGCTTTGTGGAATTTGTTTTTCGTTTTTTGTTTTAAACAATTGCAACAAAAGAATAACTAAGTAGAGGCGATAGTCGTTTTATTGTCACATTATTATTTTGTTTGCTAGACGTCTTCGCGTATCTAGTCAATCGATTATCTTTTTTGGGTCAGATGTTTTAATTGTCTTGAAACAGTAGAGCCTTTTGAAGTTAAAATTTCTGTCCGCAGTGTCAATTTATAATTAATTGCTTATAAATCGAGTTTTAATGACGCTGCATCTAGATATTAGATTACAGTTATGGTTTCATATGAAAAACAAATTTTCTGTATCTTCCCCACACTGACATACATTTTTAAAATTAAATTTAATCTAAAAGATTACATCTTTGTGATACTATTGAAGCCTCGCACTCGGCCATCTTGGTCATCTCTAAACCACTAGTTTTCCTTGAATTCTTAAACGACCTATCCTCGAAAGGATAACATCAATTCCACCCACATTTAATTTTCCTTAACGTAATTACAAAACATCATTTTCCAGCAGTTATTTTGAAAATACAAAAAATTTAAAGATCATTTTATCTTGTACCTATAGGCAGTTTCCACGTAATTATATCATTCTCTTGAATTTTCGAAATTAATTTAACTATCTATGTTACAACAAGTACGAATTTTGATAAATTTTATTTTTTTCGAAAACAGTATATATACTAATAATTCTACGTGATTTTGTTCGTACTTATGGCGTGGAAATTCTATTGCATTATTTTATCCAATTGTGCAATTTACCTTTACCCAAATAAGAAATTATTTCTGCGGTCGGAAATGATGGGTTCAATGATGTGATTGAAATGGAACTGTCGGATAGCAAAGTTCCATTTGGCTATAATAAGTATAAGAAATATATAAGGGGTTTCTTAACTTTGTACAACTAAATGTCAATAAAATCACAACAGCTTTAGCAATCGCCTGCGTTGAAAAAAAAAAGTGAATCGTTTCTGACAATTGAAAAATGCCAGCAACAAACGAACAGAGCTCTGGTGATGTTTTGTTTTTCAATTGTTAATAATTTAACAATCACGCATCAAATCTGAAAACTATAAAAGGAAATGCGTAGAAATCTGTTAGATATAAATTGGGAAGAATAGAGTGACGTATGTGAAATGTAAATTTGTTTGAATGACCGACAGGATTTTTAAGTAGGCTTTGTTAATTGGCTTGTAACATTTTTCCTGTTATTTTTCTTATTAAGTGAAAGAATTTCACATGGTAATCTTCGGCGAAACGTTGCGTATCGTGAACAACAAGAAATTTTAACGGATAAGTATATGCAAAATCCGCGTACGCGCCGTCTGAAAACATAAAGTTAATGTTTTTTTCGCTTGAGAAAACACTCACGTCTCTCTTCATGTGTCGTACACATGTATTCGTTAATGTAATTGTTATTGTTCTTGTTCAAAGTACTCGCAATTCGGCACACAGGATGTTCAGGTTTTCGAATTCAGTAAGGATCGCTGAATGTAATCGTCTTGAAGTTTAAAATTAACAATTCAATTTACTTGCGGCTATTGTAAGCTTTCGTTATTGTTTTTTTTTTAGGAAACCATCTTAATTACGCGCGTAATAAGGTAGTGTTGTTTGAACTAATTATAATCTAAACGGAAACCATTCTAACGCCACTTGTTTTTGTTCGATCTGTAGATTCAAAGGTATATTTAAGTGTAGGCAATTGCAAAAATGCTTTGTAGTGTTTCGGAAAAGTTTTATGATAGACTTGTATATTGGCCAGAGCGGTAGACGTATACAAAATAGGATTACAGAACCTAAAAAACTAATAAACTAATAAAGAAATGGCTTTTATTTCATTGGTGTTATCGTACAGCTTGTGACAATTGTCTTAGGTACAATATAAGGCTTGAACGACAAAGTTACATCTATTATTTCTAAAGTTCACCTTAATTTGTGACTAATTTAGTATCAAATCCAAAAATTTGTAACTCTAATTCTGGAAAATAAAATCTTCGAAATAATCGTATTTTATTATTAAAACTTTTCTGAAAGATTCTAAAGCATTTTTTTTTATAATTTACAAAAAGTTTTCCAGTAAAGTTGTAAAATTTATTAAGGTATATTCGTTAGGTCGTTCAACCCTCTTAGGGTATCGAAAGAAAAAACACCCTCATACGGAGTCCGGCGGTGGTTTTGTTAACATTAATGCATCCCATACTTTCCGAAAGCGCGAGCTCACAAAAATACAAACAGAGATGGGCACAAAAATCACCCAATCATCCCCCGTTCTTGTAAATGCGAGGGATCTTTGCGGTCTCTGGAGAGTTCAATAGGGGCTGATTTTTTAAGGGCAGTTTTACGCGAGGAGATGTTGTGTCGAATTTATTTATGCAGCGTTTCCTTTTGTTACCTTACCTGTTTGGTATTTTTATTAGGTGTTAAAATTTATTGGTCGTTAAGTTGATCGTTATTTATTTCTCATTTGGGGATGAAATGGGAAACGGAGGAGAGAACGACAACGGTACCATATCGATCGGGAAACAAAAGGTCAAAATTGGGTTTTCACTTCTTTAATTCGAAAAAACCAAAAAGATCCATGACAATTTTTATGTATATCGTTATATGTTGTCATAACGTATTTGAATTTTACTTTAGGTAGAGTAAACGGTGTTTGATGTTGCGTTTTATAAATAAATACCTGTAATAAAGCGTAACAAGACGTAGAAATGGCCCCGAGCCAAACATATGTTCAAGCACCCACGTTTTTCGACAATATAAAACAATGAATTGGAGGAAGTTTGTCGTAATTAAGAAACTTGAACTTGCTAAACCCGACAGGTTTAACGAACTATATTTATAAATAACATAAATGCCATAACTATAAATATTTGCATAGGCGGATGTATAATT